CTAGGCATGTGATAAGGAGACCTTGTTCTAAGAAATCCAAAGGTAAATATTCTATAAAGATTGGAGGGGGAAAGGAAAAAATAATATTATGGATATCTACAGTGTGTCAGGATTTGTGCTGGATGCTTTTATAAACCTTCTACATACCCTTTTCAAGGGAGTAGGAGAAAGGATTCACATAAGAAGTTCCTCCAGACAATTAGAAGGGGCAGCTGACTATGCAAATGGAGGAGAACCATGTGAAGCTAAAGACTTCCTGTGTAAAGGTTCTTAAAGTGTTGTTCTGGGAGCTTTTACATACCAGGATCCCAACAGACCCTGTCAACAAATTCCTTGTACTTGGCCATGTTATTGAGTAGAAAATCAAGCCAGAGTGTAGGAACCTCTGGCTGTTCCATGTGTGGGCTCCTTGGGCTCACTCATCTATCCATCCAATTTAGTGTCTTGAAATTAATCGGCCATGTCAGTATCGACCTTTTTGTAAAGTTTCTTAAAACTTAGAGTAACTGGGGTGCTTGCAGCTAAAGCCGGAAACGGTGTCCTACTGCTCAGGTCGCATTTGGGCGGTTCGCGAGTTTGAGCCAGTTTCAAAGCGACAGCTCAGAGCCTGGAGCCAGCTTCGGGTTCTGTATCTCCCTCTCTCTCTGCTCCTCCCTTGCTTACATGTGGTCTCTCTCTCAAAAATAAATAAAGATTTAAAAAAAAAAAATTAAAAACTCAGAGTAACTGATTTAGGAAGATCTCACTGGAAATTGAAATTGGCTAACACTGTTTGCCCTTTAACATGGACTGTTTTATGGAAAATGTTACTTAGGAGGATTTTTCTTTATGACTTGTTAAAATGCCATTAGTGTTACACTAATGGTACACAGTCACTTTTTTTCCTGACTCTGCATGGCTGGGATTTGGTGCTAACCACCTGGGGCGCCTGGGTGGCTCAGTCAGTTAAGCATCCCACCTCAGCTCAGACAGATCTCACTGCTGGTGGGTTTGAGCTCCTGGCGTTGGGCTCTGTGCTGACAGCTCAGAGCCTGGGAGCCTGCTTCAGATTCTCTCTGTTTCTTTGCCCCCTCCCCACTCGGCCCTGTTTCTTGAAATAAATAAATGTTAGAAAAAAATTTAGGGTGCTCCAGTGGGCTAAGCATCCAACTTCGCTCATCATGATCTCACAGTTTGTGAGTTCGAGCCCACGCCGGGCTCTGTGCTGACAGCCAGAGCCTGAGCCTGCTTCAGATTCTGTGTCTCCCCAGCTCACACTCTGTCTGTCTGTCTCTCTCTCAAAAATAAACAAACATTAAAAAAAAATTTTTTAATTAAAAAAAATAAATAAAAGTAAATACACCTGTATAAAAAAGTTATAACTCGCTTACGATGTAGAAATAAATAAATAACAAGTCTTGTCCATTTTACAGCTTTTTTTCCAGAAACTTGTTGCTGACATGCTGTTGATCCAAACATACTCCAACAGAATGCCTCCTTCTTTACTGCAAAAGAAAGACACATTTTGGGCAGAACAAATACAAGAAATTAAATTACTGGAAGAAAAGTCACACCAACGTGAAATAAAGCTGCAAAGTTTATTGCAGGTACTTGAGATATGTAAACGTTGTGCTTAACCCTGGAATTCTGGACCTTGGACCACCACCTGCTGGTGTCCAGAGGTGTCGAGTTACCATTAAGCAGTAGTTAAATGGGAACTAACACTGAGGAGATGGAAGCCTGTTCTAGCCCTGACTGCTGCTCCCGGAATGAAATAGTTGCTGAGATTCCGCACGCGGGAACGAGGGGATGGCATGTCTTTCCACCTTTAGGTTTGTGTGCAAATAAACAAAATTGGAAGCGCACTTTGAGATCCAGAAAGAGGTCATTTGGATGAAACGGTGGTTCAGAAACCGTGCTCCCCAAAGAGGGCAGGTCCGGATGTTCTGCTGCTGGAGTGGACTCCTGGTAGTCTTAAATCCAAGAAGAAAATTAAGTTTGCATCAAGTTCTTTCTCCGTTTGAAAGTTCTCACCTTTAACTTCTTACACACCGTGGATGTTAGCACTTAAAGGAAGTAACCCAAAAGCAAGGAAATCTTCAACTTTGTAATGTGATCATGTTATGTTAGGCTAATGAAATCAATTTTCTGGTTAGCTTGTCAAATTGATATTTCTAGTAATATTTCATGGTATTTAAAAAAAGAGACCCCCCCCCGAGTCCAAAGAGTGCCCCTCACAGCCTCGTGACCCACTACTTCGGTAGATAAGAGAATCAATAAGGTGGTTCTTTTTCCAGCAGGTGATATTTAGTGTCCGTAAGTCAGCTCTGTAGCGTGCTGAGGTCCTAGTGGTGGGCTTCTATAGAAATAGAACTGGGACAAGGCAAGAGTCAGCCTAAGGAAATAGTACTCTCCTAATGAAGTGTAAGCCCACATTCCTCCAACAGTGGAATTCTGCTTCTAGCAGCATCACAGGGTAATGTTCAGTGGGCTAGGGGTTGGAGCAGAGAGGGTAGAAGCAACCTACTCGGAGCCTCTGCTGAGAAAAGCTTTAAAAGTTAGCCCCTTCCTTTCCAAGTGTGAGAACGACTCTCTTCTGACTCTGAAGTCTCCACAGAGGTGCAGGCTGAGAGGTGTAACCCTCTCACTTAATCTTGGTCCTTACTCAGTTTGATGAGACAAGCATAAAACACGAATGCCAACTGGATTTTTCAAAACCCTCTCCACAAAGGCAACGGAACTGTTTTCCATCGGACCCTGAGTTCTTACGAGAGTAGGTTATATCTCTCAGAAACCCCTGGAATCTGTGCTTGAAGTTCGTATGGTCTCAGTTCGTTTTTATTTCATATGATCGATTTTGTCATTGGCTGGAACAAATCTAGAAAAGGGCTCCCACTGATACTATGTTCTTGATTCTCTAGAAATGGGAAGAATTTGATGAAAACTATGCATCTCTTGAAAAGGATCTGGAAATTCTTGTATCTACGTTGCCCTCTGTGAGTCTGGTGGAAGAGACAGAGGAAAGATTAGTGGAAAGGATTTCATTTTACCAGGTATTTTGCACCGTTGAATCCGTCAGAGGCAGCGTCCGTGGCACTTTGCGTTTTCTTTTGTTTTGACTAAATTGCTCGACTTTGAATTTGAAGTGTTGTTCCTCACACCATGCACTATTAGACTGATATTCAGGGAACCCGTGGATTTGATTTTGAGTCTTTCATTATACTTGAGGCTTGGGGTCGAGGTGCTGGGTACGAGTCCTGGCTCTCACCCGTCAAGCGTGTCAACTTTTTGTCTCTAAGTCTCAGTTTCTTTGTATACTGTAGGGAATCACGCTAGTTCTCCTACCCATCTCAGGAAGTGGATGTCAGCAGATACAGAAATGAGCCAAAGTACAGAAAGAACGTTGTAAACCATGGGCCACTAAACCTATATGTGGTTTTCTTACTTCGGTGAAGCCCTGTTTGGACATAGCCTCTGAGACAGGCAATAATCTGTCACCTGCCACCAGCATTATAAAAAGACTTCAGACAAAATGTTTTGTGTGTAACATTTAGTGTTATCATCCAAGTCTCTGTGTCCCAAACTTCGATGCCATGGAAAAGATGGAACCCTAGAATAGTTTTCAAGTGGCCTCGAGATCATGACCAACGAGAAAACGAGTTTTAAGTCTTCTCGACAGAAACTTGAAATATTTAGTTTTAACTTTCAAATGTGTTGTCAGCCTCTGAGTTGTGATGCTGGGCGTGGTTCTCAAATGCCAACTTCGAAACTTCAAGAGTAGGTTTGTTGCCTGAATAGACCGGATGGAAAATGAAATCCTTGGCAGGACCCTGGCATTCCTCAGTAGCATTTAAGCTCCTATAAGGAACATTTTGCAAAGACACGGACACTGTAGTCCTGCTATCTAGACGCCTAGAGAGGTACAATTGATCTCTTTGCCATCTTGTCCAATTGAGCTTAACTCTAAGATAAATCTGAATCTTTTTTTTTTTAATTTTTTTTTTTAACATTTATTTATTTTTGAGACAGAGAGAGAGACAGAGCATGGACGGGGGAGGGTCAGAGAGAGAGGGAGACACAGAATCCAAAACAGGCTCCAGGCTCCAAGCTGTCAGCACAGAGCCCGACGCGGGGCTCGAACTCACGGACCGTGAGATATGACCTGAGCTGAAGTCGGCCGCTTAACCGACTGAGCCACCCAGGCGTCCCTAAGATAAATCTGAATCTTCTGGGGGTGGGAAGCTGCTGCTTAATTCTTTGTTAGCCTGGGGATGCAGAAGTACGTCCAAAGAGCTAAGAGAAGGCAGTTGAAAACGGCATTTTAAACCTCATTATGTTAAGGAACTGTTTGTATTAGCCCACCTCTCTCAGGTGGACAAGGGATCATGTCCCTTAAAGTGCAACCCGTGAATCTGTTAAATTTGAGATTTTTAAAAACTGAAATAATTGTTCTAAAACTCTTAAATAAATTTGTCAAACTAAAAGAGAGATATATGAGGCACCTGGGTGGCTCAGTCGGTCAAGCGTCTGACTCTTGATTT